TATTAAAAGTCTATGTTTAAAGATTCAATCGTACAAAGAACAAACTGTTCACTATTAAAGATTTACTAGAACATAGTGAACGTTGACGAAGGAACAAATGAGATTATTTCTTTTGTCATATATTTAGTTTACTTGTTGCTGACAACTAAGTGTTAGATGGATAAAATGTTTGTGTATAAAATACATAAGCCATACTCTGTGGCGACGTTTATATCTAGATCATGGATTTATCAAGATGATATATGAATAAAAATATCCTTATTTTTGTTAAATAATAAGCAATATAAGTGTTTTGGAAGGTTTTGAATAAATTGCTCTTCAATATAATATAAAAACAGACCGGGTTAATGGACGTTTGAGTTTGAATACTGTTCCATAAATTTCATTGCAGGGGTGCAATTAGTACCCATTAGTATTCCAACAAACAAAGACCATTCACTTCGGAAAGACTATTGGCAATATTTCAAACCAATATCATTTTAAAAAATATTTCTGATAACAAACAAACAAAGTTTTATTCATATTACCGGTAGTTCAATCAATAAAGTTTTATAAATGTCAAAATATTAGAAATTAAAAACTAATATTTTTAGCATGTTCTCAGTCTGTGGTCTTGGAGCGCGGATGGCGGATAAGAAGATATTATCAATCTTGATCTCCAGCATTTTTACATCCATTTCGGACTACTTATTCAAAATCTTGAAAATAGTCCCATTATTATTTCATAGATGACCAATCACAAAACATGAGAGATAACAAGCTTATTATTTTAAATATAAGAATCATTTATTTGTGATATTTAAAAGAAAATGTTCTTGATTTTATCGTTATTGTGAAAAAAGGGCTTTTGAATTGAAAATCCAATGAAACGATGTTTTTCTTTATAGAGTCGTGCTTCGAAAATGTCGAAAAATATTTTGGCAAATACAAGTTTGGAATTGATTTTAACTCATTAGTCAAAGACATGATTTAAAGAATTATCGAAAATAAAAAGAAAGAGTTCACTATTCTTTTAATTACGAAATTATGAAAGCATCAAGCTTTATCTTAGGTACATATACAAAAAAATTTTATTTTCTAAATCATGACTGCTAGGCAGAGCCAAGGTTTGTCAACTGGACAAGAATACGTTCTTTATCTTATCAAAAGATGTGTTCTAAAGAAAATCACACTATATAATTTAATTTAGTAAAAATTAATAAACAAGTTATCATTATCTATGTAGATTCAATTGTATCCAATGTACAATGTCCGAGCACAAATGGTGGATAAGGTATGATTGCAAGAAAGAAGCCTAACAATTATAAAGTTAGAAAACGCCCCAGTAGGCAAAAAATACTGTATACAGGGAAATTTTCGGCCCCGTTTTATTTTAACCCCTTTCGCCCCCTCCTTGATTGGGCGAATTTAAAACGGGGTGAATTCAAATTACACCCCATAAACAGAACAATAATCGGACGAATTTTAAACGGGACAAAATTGTTCACAAGTTTAAAATAGCAAAAATTACACGGGGCGAAAATAACCCTGTATATATACCTTCGACATTTTCGAAGCACGACTCTATAAAGAAAATGTATATGGTAGACGCCATTACAACTCCCCCTTTTCAGGAAGATGATTAAATTTTTAACATCGGGTGATGTTAATACATTCAAGGTTGTTTTTCCGACCTCTAACGGTAAGACACGAGATGATGCGATTGTGGATACCTAGAATCTTTTTCGGGCTAGCACCTACTGTGAAACGGGACCTCGGTTTAAACGGTCAAAATTACCGGTCTCCACGTCCTGCAGCGGGATCATTTCTCAATGACTCTTGAGCATGCACTCTAACCACTGCGCCGCATAGGCGACTGTTTTACCTTGTTTCATCTTCATTAAAATCGGAGACTATGAAATCTTAAACAAGTAAAATAAATAGTACATGTAATAATAGAGTTTTTGGTCAAAACAATGTTTTAAAAAATAAATACTAAGTGATATCCATTATTGGTCAATATAAAACTATCTGATATGTAGACTAATCTTTTTATATAATATGACAGTTGCGAAGAGTTCATGTGTCGTGAGACATAAATATTGACCTTTATTCATTGACGGGTAAAGGCACATAAAGCACTTTGCATTTAAATGTCTTTTAAATCTAATTTCAAACTCTTGAATATAATCCCTTTTGTGTATTTAAATATTCATAGCTAAATGTATATTGAAAACGGTGACACCGTAAAAATATGATTTCGCCATGGAGTATCCCTGTGAATGTTTTAAGACACATGCATTTCGTACAAGTAAGTTTCCGGGAAAAAATAAAATATGTATCCATTGATATTTTAAATATCTTGTTAAGGCCTTGTTTTTATTTATCTTACTTCGTTATCATTTCCGACTACAACTAGTGCCTATAGAATTAAGCAGAAATATGTCACTTGCAGGCCTTGATTCAAATAGCGTATGTTAATATGATGCAAACAAACTTTTTTTTCAAAAATAGTGTGAAATAAATTAGTTTAACCATATTTGATCTAAATTTTTCGCTTAATTTTTACGGTAATTGGATTCAAGTGACAAAATTTGTATAGATAGTTGTAGAAGTTAACCGTTGTGTTTTATTATTCTTATCATTTAAAACAGCCAAAATAGGTAAACGGATACTATAGCAATTGGTTAAAGTCATGCCAGGTATATCTTCTAATTAACTTACTATAGGGATATTTTCAGAGATTATATGGTTTATCAATAAATAAAACATTGGGGATGAGAAAACCCGCTCCTTAGATATCATAATATTTACTAGACAACTGACGCTCATTGAAAAAAAAATATCGACAAAAACATTAAAGTACATATTGTATCTACATTAAAAGACACGTTTAAAAATATGAACAAAATATTTAAAGGTATACATAAACGATCGAATTTGCATAGCCGGTCAAACTATAGCTCTCTTTATTATTACCATCCTACAATTTTTTTTATTGAATGGATGATTTTGATTTAGTTTATAGATTTGTACTTACACACTTACAAAACATTTGAGACAGCTTTTTTAAAAAAAAAAAATAACATTTGAGACAATCTTTTTTTTTAAATTAACAAAAACTATGTTATAAAACTATGAAAAAAGCTTCAGGTTCAATACAAAAATGATAGAATGCATTTCTCTTTAAAGAGTTTAAAATGTAAAATGATTGCTTACTACATTTAAGCAATTGAGTCAAAACAGGTGAAGACAAGGAAAATAACTTAACCATTAACATATCATCTCATTGTAGGTTAAAAGATCATACAAAAATTTTGTGAAAACAAAATCAACCCTGTGGAATTTGCTGTAGTCAGAATGCCTAAAAGAGAGAGTTCTGCCCAGTACATGAAATCTGGAGAATCAGACTCGGATTATAGCGACGATAGTGCTGACGACCAGCCGCCATATTGGATGAACCTTTGGAAGGATGAAAACAAGAAATTTGTATCAACCAAGGCTTCTAACCTGGTGGAAACAAAGTTACATCATGAGAGAATACTCATCCTCGGAGACACAGGGTGTGGAAAATCTGCTATTGCTCATAACATTGCATTGAAATACGCCAAAAATGGCTGGCAAATTGTAAATGTGAGGAGCAGTCTCAGGGATGTACGGAATGCCCCAGTGAAAAGAAGTCCCGTGCTTTTCATCATCGATGATCCCATAGGTAAAGATGTATTGGACGAGAAGTCGTGTAGACTTTGGAATCTACAGCAGCAAATGTTGGACAGCTATTTTCGGGAAAGTAAGAAAATGGACACAAAGGTAGAGACCCCCAAAGTGATTGTAACATGTAGGTCAAAGCTTGTTGAAAACGAACTGAATTTTCATAAGAGTAAGTTTGCTTTTATCAATTTGGACGACGATGAAGCTAAACTGACGAAAGAAGAAAAAGAAGATATTTTGAAGCAGCATTTAGATTATTCAGAACTGGAAAATAGCGATGTTAACCAAATCCTTAATGTAGAGGAATCGTTTTCATTGATTTCTCAATTAGTTTCTAGTACCAAAAATTTCCAAGAAAACGTGCAAGCATTTTACAAAGAACCTTACGAGCTCATCAAACAACAAGTGTTATGGTTAAAAGAAAATTCCATAGAAAAGTATCTATGTCTGCTTTTACTAATCCTGAATGGGAACAAGTTGTCAAAAGTAATGTTTGCAACTGAAGGAGAAGATAGTGACAGCATGGACCATGAAGAGGATGATGAAAGTATAAATGTGAGCTTCGACGACGATTATGATGATGATGAAACCAAGAGTGATGATAACGGAAATGAAAATGACGACGATTGTGAGGGAAATGCTGGCGATGATATTAATGATGATGAGAGCGGTGAAGAAAGCGATGCAACCGATGACGGTTGTGATAAAGATGATAATGTTGATTGCGAAATTAAAGACATTATTGACGAAACGCTGTTGAATATCTTAATTAAAAAATTCAATGTCTCAAACAGTGTCAATGGAGCAATGCTCTTTCAATCTTTAATATCTCTAGATGGACATTATTTTGTAAAAAGAATAGGAAAAAAGGGAAATGGGTTTCTAATCACAAACTATCCCTTTCTGCAGACATTAACTCATATATTTTGTACTGAAGTCCCCGATTTATTTATAAAGCACTGCCAAGGAAGTTTCTTTCGCATATTTACGACGAGTTTATGCACACAAAACAAACCCTTTACAAACGTTCAACTACAGGACAGTTTTATTGATGCATTTGTTGATAGAATTGAGAAAGATATCAAATCAGGTACATACTGTAGAAGTACTTTTTTCCGCGTGGTATTAATTTACGCTATGTACGCGGTCACAAATAATCCGCGGAAATTTGTCCGAGCGTACTTAATACAAATGTTAGGCATATAGTGGCAATCTAGAAAATCCGCGTAATTTTCTACCCGCGCATTGCACAGAAATTGAGATTCCGCGGAATTATGACCCCGTGGAAAAAAGTACGTCTACAGTATCTGGATGTCTTTCTGAGTCCCTGGATACGGGATGAGAGAGTTCTGACAAAGTTCAAACTGCAACTGAAGACAAAGCCCAATGAGGAATTAAAAAAATGGTTCTACACTCAAAACTCAAACAAGATGTTGATCTCCAAAACTTGCCGTCAAACAAGTGGACTACGTGGAGAGGTTTCTCTAGGCTCGACTTGATTTCACATAGCAATGAAGTCTCTCCAATTATTCTTTCCCTGAAACTGAATATTGACGAATTGTTTTCTGCTATGATCAGCTTGGTTAAAAATGATTTGGCTAGTTCTGACTTTGACAAATCTCTTCTGATTAGCGCTTGTTGTGTGAATGAACATAAGGACTATGCCAGACTTGCTTTGAAAATTTTGAGTGTCAAAAACGCATGCTGGAGCAAAAAGGAAAATGTCTACGCAGTACATATAGCAGCAAACTTTTTGCAACCTGACATTTTATCGCTTATTCTGGATGCTGAATATGACGTAAACATGGTTACACGAAACAATGAATCTCCCCTTATCTTAGCAGTTGTAGTAGATAAATGCACTCTCCAGAATATCCCTTGGGCATGTAACAAGGACTTATGTGATCCTAATAAAACCTTCGACGAAGTTTTGGAAGAAAGACGTATGCAGACGTTAACTCTGCTTGTTCAAAAAGGTGCAGATGTCAACATTCATCCCACAAAACTTCCCTCTGCTCTAGCTGTCTCCTGTCAAAAAGGAAACAAGGAAATTGTTCAGTTCCTGCTCAGAAGTGGTGCTAATGTCAATGAAACGGGTAACAAGTTATCTGCTCTTCACTTGGCTTCAATGGAAGGCAATCTAGAAATTGTGCAGTTACTTTTAGACAAAGGTGCAGATGTCAACATGAGGAGTAAATATGGATTCACGCCTTTATATTTAGCTTCAAGAAAAGGTAACTCTGCTATAGTGGAGATTTTACTCACTAGAGGAACAAATGACGAGCTTAAGGAAAGAACGGCCTATAATCCTTTCTTTGCAGCCTGTGCACATGGCCACATAAACATCGTCCAAATGTTTTTACAGCACAAACCTTACATAAACTGCTCAATGACAAATGATACATCAGCAATACTGGCAGCTGTCGGTAATGGACACGCAAAAGTGGTTGACTTACTTCTGAAAACTGGCGCTGATGTTAATTCTTTTCAGAAAAAGAAAGTTATGAGTCCTATTCTCTTTGATGTCATTGCGCATGGTCATGAACTTGTTTTGAAATTACTTGTAACCTGCGGTGTAAACCTTAGTATAGTAACAAGAGAAACGGACGACTCGGACACTCCGTTAATTATTGCATCACAGAACGGACATTACTCGACAGTCCAGTTCCTGCTAGAAAACGGAGCAAATGTTACTGAGACCAACCGGCTTAAGATATCCCCATTGCACTTCGCAGCAGAGAATGGACACCTTGAAATTGTACAATTACTACTGAAGAATAATGCAGGAGTGAATTCATGTTCAAAAAGGGAGAGCAGTCCTTTGATACGGGCTTCATATCGCGGGCACAATGATATTGTAAAGGAGCTTTTAAATCAAGGTGCTGATGTAAATCTGGCCAATAAGAAGATGGCTACTCCTCTTTTTCTTGCTTCCAAATATGGTCATGCACAAGCTGCTAAAACTTTATTGGCACACAAAGCAGATTTTAATTTGTGTACAAAGAGTGGATGTAGTCCTCTTTTCGTTGCAGCGAGATTTGGACATCGTGAAGTTGTAAAAGATCTGTTGTGTCATGGCGCTAAAATAAATGAAAATGACTCCAAAAATCCTCTTTTGAACTCTGCCTTTCACGGGTACTATAAAATTACTGAACTGCTTATCGACAACGGGGTAAAAATAAATGTGCAGGATAAAGAGGGGAGTACTCCTCTGATAAATGCAGCAATGGAAGGATGGACGGATATTGTTAAACTGTTGCTAAAAAGAGGAGCTGATGTCAACAAATGCGATGAAGATGGGGAAGACGCTTTACATTGGGCGAGTTTAATGGGTTATGCAGACATTGTAAAACTTTTCATCGAACATGGTATGGATATTAATAATTATGACGAGGATACATACAGTCCATTTGAAAAAGCTGTAGGGGGGAATCATCTCTCATTAGCTTTACTTCTGCTCGAGCATGGCGCAGACGTAAATGCTATCGTCTATGGCAAAACTGTTCTTTATCTTGTGTGCAATGCTGGATTCAAAGATGTCGTTGATGATCTTCTTGGCGTGACGCAAAGGTCAATCCTAAAGAAGAAGATGATTCTATTGAGACTCACCGCTTTATGCTGCCGTGTCGGGTGGTCATACAGAAATAGCCGAAGAACTCCTACGTCGTGGTGCAGATGTAAATTATATTCCATGATACAAGGATAAAACTTTGTTGATGACGGCTACTGCAAAAGACTACAGTAGAATAGTAAAGTTGCTGATAGATCATGGTGCTGATGTCAACGCCAAAAGCAAGTCTGAAAACACAGCTTTGCATGCAAGTTCTTATGATAGCTCTAAACTTGAGTCCATGTTAACACTGCTTAAAAACAAGGCCGATGTAAACGCTCGAAATAAAGATGGAGCTACACCAATGATGTTGGCCCTTCACATAAGCAATTTAACAAAAGAGCGCGTTCAGGCGCTCATCGATTATGGAGCGGGTGTAAACATGCGTGATAATTCTGGACAGTCAGCTTTACATTTTGCAGCGACCTGCAATGACAAGCATGACGTCGTATCCCTTCTGCTAGAACATGGCGCTGACGTCAATGCTCGCAACGACGAGGGCGAAACTGCTCTCCATGAAGCGTGTTATCCAGACTTTCTTAAGACCATTACTGTACTTCTTCGACATGGAGCAGACGTTAATATTCGATCAAATGCTAATCTGACTCCTTTAGACATTGCTAAAGAAGAAGGATATACCAAAGTAATAAGAATTCTCTCAAAGAAAATTAATGAATGTAGAGTCGAAGAGGCGTCTTCTTCAAATTCGGGGATGAGCAATGTCTCAGATTCAGGCAATATTGTTGTGCGTACTAGGTCGAATCCATTAGGATCTGTATTACCAATGCGGAAAATAGTAAAACTAAAGAAAACGTGGCGAATTTAAACATGTACTGTTATGTATACTATAAAATGTATGTTCATGCGTCTTATGTGTATTGATATCTTTGTACCGGGTATTATGATTGATTGATTGATTGATTGTATGTTGTTTAACGTCCCTCTCGAGAATTTTCCACTTGCCGGTGGAGGGCTACAAATTTTGTCCTATGCTCGGCACTCAGGGCCTTTGAGCAGTGAGGGATCCTTTTTGGGCCAGCACCTACTGGGGCCTCGGTTTATACGGTCTCAAGAACAAGAATAATCTTCACTCTTGTTTAAGCCACAGGTTGTTAAAAACGAAAAAAATCAACAGTTTTAATAATATCCTGAAAATTAGATACAAAATTAAAAATTTAACAAAATGGTAAAAAAAAGTTTGGGCCGCGTGCATTTTCAGTTGATAGGTAGGCAACTGCAGTCAAACATTTTTTTTTTAATATTTAAGCCTCTCTTGATTAATTTTTGTTTTCTTTTATCTCGAAAAGCTATGCGTTTCGTGGTATTAATTGGTCGTGTAAAATATATCTACACGTATTACCAGGTAGCTACTTTAGAAATATGGACTCGATCGTCATCTGCAATAATCAACATTTTAAAGTCCAATTGATTTTGTATATTTCATCCATATGTTCTATTGTGAAAATGCTATAATATAAATACCACAATTAAAATGTTAGAAACTTGTCAAGTTATATTTTATTATATGAAAAAGGAAGATAATATATGGTTGAACAGGGAGAGAGATAATCAGACAGACAGATAAATAGACAGACAGTCAAAACCATTGAAGTTTTCATTGAGTTTCTTACTTTATGTCCAGTTTCTCATTTTTAATCATTTTAAAGCATAAGGGCCTCGTTTTACTCAAAACCTAAACTAGAATTTTAAATTGAAAAATTAGTAGTTGTAAGTTGTAAAAATCTTACCTAACTTATATATTTGTCTGTTAAAATTTCTTTGAATATATATATCTTTCTGAATTCCTTTCAAAAAGATTTCCATTATTTTCAAAGTACATTTTGTAATATATACAAAAGGACAAAAGGAAAGTTTTTTGCTTAATCACATTTTGATTTTAGTCCTATAATCTCTTGTGTAAAACATGGTCAAGCATTCAATGACTCATGAACTGAAGTACACCCGGTATGCATGGTAAATAAACTTTTAAAATGCAAAAGAACCGTGCATTAAGATGTTTTCTTTTTCAAAATTGAATCCCACTGTGGGACGTGGAAACTGGTCCCTCGGATCAGACCATGTATATACACCAAGATCTCGTATCGCAGTAGGTGCTGGCACGAAAAAGATCCCTCCCTGCTCAACGGCCCTGAGTGCCGAGTATAGGACAAAATTTGTAGTTCTCCACCGCCAATAGGTGGCGTGTCCATATGAGTGAAAAATTCTTGAGAGAGACGTTAAACAACATACAAACGAACAGAAAAACCCAATGTTTAACATCCAAAACTATGTAAAATATTGAGTGTTGCAAAAAGCTCTAGTCAGATACTAAAAACTTCCAAAGCCTTTCAATATCCTTCACAGTTGTAGTAGTTTCAAAGGATTTTATCAAATCACACGAAGTGACAATTTAGCAATCTGAATTTCGATCTCAAAAGTTGGATTATGTTTCCAAAATGTTTCACATGGATGTAAAAACCGCTGGTATTACAGTACCTTGGAACAAATTTAAATCAAAACTTAATATTTTTTATTAATAAGTCATCATGATCAAAAGTGAGAAAGTACGGAAGCCCGTTGGTGCCACGTACGAAAAATATTTTATCCTGCCTCTGATAAAAATCGTGAAATTTCATTGGCCGAGAGCAATACTGCATGGAACGATGTTATGCTGTTTACCCACCTCACATTGCTTATGTGCCCCCTCCACGTGACCTACCCACCATATATTAAAAATTTACCAACCACACATCATCAATATACTGCTTTCACGTGACCCGCATGGAGCTTCATAACTGACGTCACAATGCGTCTGACGACAACGTACAATGGATGTAGAACGTCTTGCTTGGACGTTCAGTGAATGCAGTTTATTGACACTATCAATATTTAATCTTTTAGTGAACCATCGGCAGGATAAATTCGTTATGTAAACACTTAGAGGGGTAATACGGAAATATGTGGGGTCCATGAAAAAATGTATATTGGGCTCGGCTTACGCCTCGCCCAATATGGATTCTTTCAAGGACCCCACATATTTCCGTATTACCCCTTTAAGTGTCTACATAACTAATATTATCTGGCGGCCGCCACTTATTATTTGGCGGCCGCCACTTGTATATCTGGCGGTCGCCAGATAATTATGTGGCGGTCGCCACTTATTATTTAGCGGCCGCCACTTATATATCTGGCGGTCGCCACTTAATATATGGCGGCCGCCACATAATTTTTTATGGCGGCCGCTATATAACATCTGGCGGCCGTCACATATTTAATTGGCGGCCGCCAAATATTTATCCGGCGGCCGCCACTTATATATCTGGCGGCCGCTACATAATATTTGGCGGCCGCCACATAATTTATATGGCGGCCGCCAGGTAACACCTGGCTTCCTGATGCGCGCGCATGTTTTAATGTGTGGTTATAGGTGGATACATTGTAAAATTTTTAATATCAACATCAATCAACCAAACTTTTAATAGATTTATTATGAACCAACACTGCAATCCACACTTCTAGTAGATATGTTTTTGCATAGAGCAGATTAATATTTGATTTAAATTATGCAAGTATTTGTAGAGTGTTTCGATTATTAAGAAGCCTCATCAGGGGTCACGGACATAAATCATGGTGTTTGCTGTAAGCTATGATTGGTTGAGAATTAAATAAAGTTTTGCATTTTGGATTTCCAAGAATGGTGTTTTAATATTTGAGAATTCGTTTTCTATCATTTACTTTTTTATCAATAAGCAGCGGTTGTGTCAACATCCATCTTCTTAACCCAATAACACTCACCTTTTGCAAAATAATTTATGTGGCGGCCGCCATATAAATTAAGTGGCGGCCGCCAGATAATTAAGTGGCGGCCGCCAGATATATATGTGGCGACCGCCAAATAATTAGTAGCGGCCGCCAGATATCTATGTGGCGGCCGCCAGATAAAATATTTTTCGTACGTGGCACCAACGGGCTTCCGTAAGAAAGAAACAACAAAATGGATTTTAATTTTCTTACTCTTTCTAAAAAAAAAAAAGATAATTTAAATAATCACCCTCCCGTGCTTTGCTTCTAATTTAGTGAAACTCTGAAGATCTAAGAGCGATAACTCTAATCTTTTTTCATGTACATGTACATGTATTCATCTTCTCTTTACAAAATTGATAGTCGGCTTCCCTTATCATTGAATTGTTTGAATCATAGGCACTTGGGGTATGGACCCCTCCCTTTTTCCCTTTTTTTTTCTTTTTAAATCTGGGTTCGAATCACCTTTTTCCTATTTTTTCTATTCTAATATACACTATATGTTATCAAAAATGCAACTCTTTTGTCTCTACAAGCTGTTTTTAAGCCGTTTTCCACTGATACATAATCTCTTTATATGTACCAGTCGAAAACGACATATTTAAAAACAGCTGGTAGAGACAAAAGAGTTACATTATTGATAACATATAGTGCATATTAGAATAGAAAAATAGGAAAAAGGTGACTCGAACCCAGATTTAAAATGAAAAAAATATATAAAAGGGGGGGGGGGTCCATACCCCAATTGCCTATGGTTTGAATCTGATGTGTATGAAATTATTGAAAAGGAGCATTAAAAAATGCATTAATAAGGAAGGGGTGGAACAGCAGTTTGAACGGATATGAACAGCAGAGAGAGGTATGAACAACATCTAGAGGAGTATATGAACGGTAGAAAAAGGTGTGAACAAGAGAAAAGTATGAACTGATGAGAGAATAATGAACAGCTAAGAGAGGGGTATCATGTTGTAAATTTTGAATTTACTAGTAGGAGGTAAATGCAAAATTTACAACATGATAAATTTTGCTTTTCCTTCCCCCTAGTGAATTCAAAATCTACAACATGATGTAGCCCGGGGTATGATTGGCAGAGAGAGAGGTGTGAACAGGAGAGAGGAGCGTGAAGAGCATAGAGAGGTATGGACAGCATAGAAGGGTGGTAACAACATAATTTGTAGAGAGGGGTACATGTAGCAACAGCATAGAGAGGCCTAAATACCATGTAGAGACTCTGTCACTTTGAGGCGTGAACAGTCAGAAAAATGTACTATATATAAAGAGTGTATAAACAGCAGAAATCAACAACAAAGAGTAAAAGAACAGCAACAGAAATATGTTTCAAATAAATACAACAGAAAAAGAGAAACAGCAGTATAGCCACTGGATCCGATGCATCGTTCTTGCAGCACTATAGCATAGTAAACTAGAGGTACTGTGAGCTTGATCATGAGTTCACTTGATGCAACCTGCCTCCCAAATGAATATAATGGCAGTGTCCATGTTTTGCTATGGGAAGCCCAAAATACGTGTCGGATCAAAAAGTAAAATAGGAGGTGACAGTGGCAATATGTAATAAAGATTCTGTGAAGGTCTCATCAAATTTCATCTAGTGGTATGAGAGGAGATGCAGATAAGAGATGGGTAACCCAAAGCGTACCAGACTGACGTACAGACGGACATTCCGATTACTAAATGTATATATACCCTTCCGCTTTTCAAGCGGGAGATATAAATATCATCATCAATTATATATGAAGCATACATTTTACAGATGAAGGCTTGATATGTTGTATTTAAACATTTCAATGCAAACAGAATCAATTGAGAATTAATTGTATGAGGTATTTAATTTTATTTTGTCTTTTTCAAATAAGTAAATCTTTTTTACGCTTTTCTCTGAATCAATGATTCAAATCCTTAGGAAAGAAAGAAAAGGTGAAGGGTTAATAAGAGGTTGTAAGGGGGGGGGGGGTAATTTAAGATATCATAATTTATTGACTCTTAAGTCTTAACTCATTTCAAGTT